TTTCCCTCCCCACCCATTTGAGCTACTCCTGGCATTCATCTAGCCCTGTGCTGCACTGTTGCACTATGTTAATCTGCCAGAAACTTTAAAAAAAAAAAAAAAACAAAACCAACAAACAACTCACCAAGTTATTTTCTGCTAGATTGGCTATAAATACAGTTAATAAATATGATATGGCCCTTTTCTGTTTTCTTGTGATTCTTGGTTTGGAGCTGTACTGTGGAAGTAGTACTCAAAGAACTTTTGATGAACTAAATATTATCTACCAGTTTTCCTAGAAGTGTCTGAGTGAGAGTGATGTAAACCACAGAGATCTTACTGATTCCACAACATCATCTTCCCTGGGTGTAGCAACACTGACTGTTCAGGTTACCAGTCACCAAAACGATTTTTGCAAGGCAGAAAGAATTATACAGTAAGTTTCACATCCCAAGACTTCAAGATTATAACAATTTTTCAAGAGATCTTAAAAATGCCTGGAGATAAAAAATAAAATGTTTTATGAAAGGAAGGAGAAGGGGAAAAAAACCCAAACCACTAACAAACTCCTTGGATCTTAAAGACTTCTGTTACTTAGTAATAATCAGAGCGAGACAGATCAATTGTTGGCTTCACCGATGCTTGGGAAAGAATACCAGACCAGCACAAGTATATTTTTTCTGGATTTTTTTCTCAATGTAATTTCAGTCTCTTCTCTAACTAGAAGCTAAATGGCACCCTCAGGGCATGGTGCCACTAAAATACACAAATGGGAGCAAATATTTGTCTGCAAGAAAACAGAAATTGGAAAGTATTTAGAGAGTGTACTGTCTCAACTCTGTATATTAAAGTAGGCTTTCTAGACTTACAGATCACTAAAAAACAGAAAAAGGAAAAATTGAAATCTATTAAATCTATTATAGACTAAAAAAAAAATATCCTTTTTTTCTCTTCAGGGTAAACCAAGACCCAAAATCATTTGGATGAAAGATGGTCAAACTCTAGACTCCAAAGATGTGGGAATTCGGAACAGCAACACAGATACAATCCTTTTCATCAGAAAGGCAGAGCTTCGTCACTCAGGAGCTTATGAAGTCACTCTTCAGATAGAAAACATGACTGATAAAGTTGCAATAACAATGCAAATCATAGGTAAGAACCTGACAACAAAATTAAGCATATTGTACAAAACAAAATAGTGGCCATACTGAGGCAAGCCGAAGATCCAAGAACCTCAGAATCCCTTCTCTGACAATGGTTGATAGCAGATGACTAGGACAAAGCTCAGAGCAGGGCTAGCATGTCACTTTGTTTTCCTAGTATGTTTTCCCAGCTTGAAATGACCTGTGTTCTAGAGACTTTTGGAGGGACTGGGATTATCTGAGTGTCCAATAGCTCTTAAAGGATTTTTTTCTTGCATGACTTTATCCAGTCAGTTTTTTAATCCAGGTCTAGTTTCGGGATCCAAATATCCTTTTATAAGGAATTTCAGTTTAAGTGCATGTACAACTACCTATTTGGTTTGTTTTGAGTCTCTCTCTTGATAATCTCATTTGATGTCCCTATAGTTTTGTATCAGAAAAAACATGAATAATAATTTATTCACCTTTTCCATGCTCCTCATGATTTTATAGCCTTCAGTCACTCTCTCCTTAGTTAACTTTCTCAAGTTTTAAACTCTTCGTTTGTTTATTTTCAAAAAGATGCCATTCCATATTTTTTATCATCTTTATCACCCTTCTTTCTATCACTTTGAGAGTCATGGAAAGAATTTGTTGTTCTTGGGAATAGCCATATTGTCCTCAAGGAAGGAAATAAGAATCCTGGAATGGATATACTCTTACTGGGTTTCTTCAGCAGATAAGGACAGTGAAGGTAAAATCGTTGCACTAATATACCTCTACTGTTCTGAGAATTAGAAATGACAACAAGACACAGTCCTGTGAATTTGGAAAATACACATTTAATGCCTTACTCTGTTAAGAGTGTCTAGATAGTTTGAGGCTTAGTGGAGGCTTATTCTCTATTATACAATTTCTAGTCTCTTTTCTAGTGTCGTTTTAAAGGAATGCACTGCCAAATTTTCAGTAACTTCCCTTGGGATTTTGAGAGATAAAATCCAAGATCCTGCCTACTCAGATTTCATTAATGTTCAGCCAGAGCTCTTCTGTTTCTCCTCATTACAGCTCTATGTAACATTCTTGCTAATTGTTTTTATTTCTCTTTCCCCACACTTTCACACTGGCATCCCAAATTTCCTCCAATGTATCAATATATTTTTTAGAATATGTACTTTGGCACCAAAAAAAAGTATTTAAACATAACTCCTAATGCTTTGGAATTAAAGATATGATGCTGACTGTATCCTGCTTAAAGTCTTATAAAATAATGTTGGCAGAATGGGTATGCAGTGGTGCAAACAGCAAACAAGAATGGCATAACAGATGGAAGCAAATATGTCTTAATACCACCGGCTGCTTCTGTTTGAGAGGATTGCTGCAGGTCTGCAATAGGAAAATAGGTAAATGGCAGCTAAAATAAAGTAATTGCAAGGGACTGGGGTAAAGAGTAGTGCACCCTATACCCCAAAATACCTTCCTAAAACTGGTTAGTGACTCTAGATTCTAGCACATTGCTCTTACAACATAGTATCAACTATCTTCCACCTGTTGTTTGGTACTGTAGCAAGGCATAAAAACACATACATGTAGCATTGTCAGAGTTATTTCATATAGAAACCGAATGTCTGAAAAAAAAAGCGACTAATCTTATCACACAGATTAATATGTGTCAGAGTTGAAAGACAGGCATTAAACCTCTTGGGCAGCTTGCTCAGCTGAAAGGAAATAAGTAAATTTCATTTAATTCCTGGACAAGACAAAGGGTTTGTAACATACACAGATACTTCTGCAAGGCATCTACTCCGATTCTTGATTCTGTCACTCTTTCATCAGAACCACCTCTTTTCAATTCTGACAATAGTACTTTTTGCTCTCCAGATTTTATATTCTCTTGTCAGGAGAGAAATATGGGTGATCCAGGCACTCTTTCTATACTACTGGTATTGCTTTAGGTGCTGTAGAATGGCATGCTGAAAAGCCAACACAGCTTTCACAGATAAAATAAATCAGTTGGTGATCTTTTGAGGTGTCTGTTCATCAGCTAACTTCCCTTGGCAAATGTCTACTTGATGAAGGAGTAATGTTTGTAGCTTCACCCCTTATCTTTTTGGAGGAAGGCAAGAATGTAGGTAACCAAAAGCTCTGCTGCTACGATGAGTCACCTGTCAGTTCCAAACAGGAAGGAACACTTCTATTACTGCTATCACCTGCCTTTATTGCCAAAACAATTGCTGCTGTTTACTCTAGACCTACAAAATATGGACTTTTACTATGGGAATACAGTATATGTCAAATACTTATAAAAAGGCCTTAGATAATGAAAATATCTCCAATCTCTGAAAAATATGGTTCCCTCAATTTTTTTACCCCTCTACATGAATCAATAAATGATGCCTTCTATTATGCCTTCTATTGACCAAAGCAAACCTCAGTTCTATATTTCTAAATTTTTAAAACTGGAATTATTTATTGCTCTCATTATTTATTATTTGAAAATGTAAATTATCATTTCTTTTTGAAAGATAATTTACACTTTATTTCTTCTCCCCATTCTATAAAATTGCAAAAATCCTCAGATAAGCTTGTGCTGAGGGTAGCAAAATATTTCCGCTGAATATAAATCCCCACTCTTAACAGTGTCCTACAGAGGAAAGTAATTTGCCACAGATGCATTACTAGGATTAACTTTTCCCATCCTCTGTTGACCAGCTAGAGATATACCAGTTAGTTCTAAGAATATTCTACAATTCTACAAAGGAATTTTTAATAGATATTCTTGCAGATTGTATTATCCCATCACACCACAAAGATCTAGAATATAAAAATCCATTTAACAAATGTATCCATCTCTACCCTTTTGTAAGATGGTCCTTTACAAAGCCTTACAAGTATTGAGGCTTTCAATACGCTCTTTTTTTTTTTTAATTCCAGCTAGACCACCATGGGTAGATTTAATAATTTATTAAATATTAAAAAGGGATTATTTAATACATCATTGAGTTGTAATTACATTAATCTAATAGTAGGTTAAGGCTTAAATTGTTTTTCTTAATAAAGTCATACTTTGAAATTGTTCCCCCCCCAATCATATCTATATGTACGTACAAACACATACATAAGAATGTCTTATATGTTTATTTACATATACATACATACATTCCTGAAGTCTAACTCTTCCAATAGATTACTGAATTAACAAATGACCTGCTATCCCATTTTTTTTAGTTTTGAAGGGAGATTCCCGGACAATTGCTTTTAGGTAGCTAGGAGAAATAAGGCACAGGCTTCAAAATCTGTCTAGTGAGGCCTCCCCAAAAAGTGTTCTTTTTCCTTTCATTGCACCTAAGACTATTTTTCATCTATTTATCAATCTCTTCCTATAATATTTAAATCAACTACCATCACCAAGATCTCCACAGTTTTTGACAAAGCATTGTGTAAGCATCCCTTTAAAACAAAAAACCACTGTTGTGTAGATGTATCTGTAGGTAAGCACATAGGAAAAATACTTGTAAAACTAGACAGATACTGTGGAGGGCTATAACAGCAGGCAGACTTGAAAATAATTAACGAATTGCTAAACATCACAACGTCAGTCTACTATTAGATTATAATACACTTATTCAGGGCTTGTAGAGCTTTGCCCACTGACACTGTTGCAGCTTTCATACCCACACAGGTATTCCTATGTAGTATCAAAATTATTCTCTTCAAATCAGAATAGATTGATTTCTGTATGATAAAGATACACATCTAGAAATATATCCAGATTTTTTCTTTTAAGTTGTGATTCAAGATAGCAACGAATACATTTCCACACCTTCATAAGCAAATGTTGTTCCTTTGACAACACATTACCATTCCCTACTTCAGAAACAGGGAAGAAAAAGAAAGAAGGCTTTACCTGAAGTTGGTAGCTCTTGAGAAACAGAAGGTTCTCTGAAATGTTAGTGTAAGGGAGGAAGGAAGAGGATGATAAACAAAGTGACAGCAATGCATTCTATATTCCTTATTGAACTTCAAGGCTCCAGTGTTTCCAATTCAAAGGAGGACAAAAAGGTTTAAAGCTAAATATAAAGCAGTCTGATTCCAGAGTACACCAGTGAAAAGAGAATTAGCACATTATCCTTTGACATAGAAAATCACAGTTCCCCTACTAACAGTCAAAACCTGGTTTATTACTGGTTTACATATTCTTCTTTAAGGAATTAAATTACAAGCAGTCTATAATTACATTCCTTTGTGTTTTGCTCATCTCAAACCTACACCTGTCAGATTCTTACTATTTTCTTCATTTTTCCAGCTTAGCTACAAAAAGGAGAGAGTTTCCATTCAGCTGTCTAGAATGATCCCAAACTATCCTTCACTTAATCACGAGACCATCTACACAGGCCTAATGATCATCTCCTGAATAGGCCCGGTAACTGTGAGCAACAATCTAACATATCAAAAAGGAGAACTAGCATCTTCAAATTAAGACAGACAGGAATATTACTTAATAAACCTAATTTAATGTTACAGCATTGGGCTAAACAACATTGATATAAATGAATGATTCTTAGAACAAGGAAAACAAAAATTACTATAATTTTATACTGTATATACTTCTATACATTTCCAGATATCTTAAAATGGACATAGACTTCTGAACATCTTTGAGAGTTTGTTCTTTTTCTAATTATTGCAGAGAAATGTCACTAGTGGGCAAGCTGACAAGCACTGAGGCAGCAGGAGGAGGAGTCAGGTATATTTCCGAATGGTCAGCCTCCCTTAGCTGAGAGGAATATATACTCAGTTGCCTTTGCTGTTTACATTCTCTCAGTGTGTCTAAATAGCTGAGAAATTGCACTGAGGTAACAAAGCAAGTAATAAAACTGTAGGTAAAAAAAAAAAAAAGGGTTAATCACACCTATCCAAACACCACAAACTTCTTATTCCATTTTAAGGAAGAGTTTTTCTGGTTCCCATGTTACTAATTCTACTGTCTGGTCTATTTCTCAGTAGGTTTCAGTCCTGTCAGAAGAGTGTTAAAAGGGCATTTGAAAATTTCCCCACTTTCCTGTTTACAGTTTCAGCTTCACATAAATTAAGTGTATTGCTATGAAACAATTTTAGATTGCTATCAAGTTCTATTTTTTCCCCATGCATGGGAGGAAGTGACAAAGCTCCTAGATCTTGAATCAAAAGCTAAGGGTTTTTTTTATCACGTCTTCTCTGCAGACAAGCCTGGTCCTCCTCAGAATATAAAGCTTATAGATGTTTGGGGATTTAATGCAGCCCTGGAGTGGACACCTCCACAAGATGATGGCAATGCACAGATCTTGGGCTACACAGTCCAGAAAGCTGACAAAAAGACAATGGTAAGAAATTGCACCGAGTCAGTGACTTGGTATGGAGTTTAAATGACTACCTGCTCTGGGAACAGAGAGGCTTGAGGAAAACAGCTGAATTCATGACTCTCAGTTTGTGTCCAAGGTGTCGCATGGCATATTGGAGGCAGTTAAAGGCTAAGTATAGAACTGTATAAAATGCCTGGTAGAAAATGTGAAAAATGAGAGAGACCTAGCCAGTCTCGTCTCTGGTGGTGACTCAGAAGGCGGAATTATATTTTTTTAATTTGGAATTATATTTTTTATAAATGCAGGGAAAAACTGAAGGGGAAGGAGGAAGAATTAAACTTGAACTCAGATGCTGGACATACTAGGGTATATACTGGGAGAGTATATAAAATGTCTTTCTCATGGCAGTCCCCATCAAGTAGTCCACAGTTCTGAGGACACATCCTGTGTGAGATTCCCCAGATATGAGTAGGGCTAAAATGTAAAGAAATTTTATTCCTCAAGTATTCATACATCTATCACACCATCTGGAAAAGAAAAGAAAAATAGATCAGCTGATCTTCACAGGAACATAATACTCATTTTGCAGGCTAATGTTAAATACCTATCTACCTGTCTTTTCCTTGTAGCAAGAGGGATCTCTCCATACCAAAAGTAGCACCATTTCTGGCCTCTCATAGCATCTTTCTAAACAGTATAGTCTTGTTACAGGAATGGTATACTGTTTTTGATCACTATCGTCGCACAAACTGCATAGTGTCAGATCTGATCATGGGAAATGAGTATTTTTTTCGAATCTTCAGTGAAAATTTGTGTGGATTGAGTGAAACTGCTGCGACCACCAAAAATCCTGCCTATATCCAAAAAACAGGTAACATATTCTTCAAAACAATGATCACAAAAGCCGCTAAGTACCAGAAGTAATACATTGGTAAATGGAAAATACAGTATTACTAGATGCACCATTAGAGATATTTTCATTACTTAGTAACTAGCACTTAAGAAGTATTTTAGCATCAAGAGCCCTTATCTAGGCAAATCTCCTGTACTAACACGAACATCTGTTCCAAAATACTTAATCACACAGTCTTCCTAAACTATAAATTTTAAGAAAATAATACAACGGAGTGGTTATATTTACATTCTGGGGTTAAAAGTTTAAGAAGTCTGTGGTGAAGACTTCCCTGCAGACATATGGTTTTCATATTTTTAACAGAAGGTGAAAACCCATGATTGCTAGGGCCTTTTGCTTTAACTAAAGCATTAAACAAATGTGTTTTAGAGTGAAGTGAATTTAAAGATTTGTTATATCATCAATGCCACAGTTTTGAAGTTTCTCTAAATCATACAGGCAAATTAAATGAGAAATAGATTTTATGCAAGTCAACAGACTTGAAAACACAGTTCTTACTATATTGTTTCTCTGAATTGCAGGCACCACTTATAAGCCACCTAGTTACAAAGAACCTGACTTCTCTGAACCTCCTAAATTCACTCACCCCTTAGTAAACCGTTCTGTGATCGCAGGATACAACACCACACTCAGCTGTGCTGTAAGAGGAATCCCCAAGGTACAGATTACATCAACTGTAATTGATACTGCTGTAACCAGTCAAGATGCTGACTTAGAATGCATGCCGGTTCAGTGTGACTGGAGTGTAGCATGACTATATTCAGAAAAAATAAAGGTCATCCAATTATCTCCCACCTCACTCATAACTGACGCTGAAGCAGAACGCATTGTCCAAGTGTTTGTGTGGTTGTGCACAGAACCAGTGGGGCGATACAGTAAAGGAGACAGAGGAAAGGACAATCTGCTTATAGTAACACCATACCATTGAAAACGTACCATGTGCACATAAAATCTACTCACTGAAGAAGGTAAACAACAACAAAAAAGTATCTTCTCTCAGTGTATATTTTGTTCTCTTCATTCTTTCAAGAAAACAGCAACTAATGTAATATGCTGTTCCATTAACCTAAATGATACACAGGAACACTGGATTTCTGTTATGTCAATACATCCACATAACTTTGAGAGTCTGAGTTATTTTGCAAAATTAACTAGAATAAGACCTGCTATCACATGTGAAGTTATGGGGCTTTTTCGTTTTTTTTTAATCTCACAGGAATATTTTCTCAGTCCAAATATATTTGTTGAAGTCTCTTCAGAAAGTACAAAAACATATACTTTTTTGTTAGTCAGGAACAAGCAGTAAAAACTGCATCAGCTAGGAGCTAAATTTAGGTTTCTCAAAAAGGAAAATAGGCTTTTTTGTCTGCAGTGAAGGAATTTACTGTATTACGACATAATCTTGTCATAAACTTAAATTAGTACAATTACAAAAAATGCAGTACGCTTTTCCCTTCCTCTTCTGGCTGCTTATTTCCAGCTTCTCCCCCTACCTCATGCCTGCACAAGGATCTGATAGCTACACAGCAAAACATGTAAGATAATTGTTCAAAGTTCAAATTAACTCAAAAAAAAGTCTTAATGCAATCATTTACTGCAGTTCACTGGATGAACTCAAATATAAAAAGGAAGCATACCCACATAAATAGCTTCAAAAGAACAAGAACATTATAGAAGAAATAGCAGCAACTGTGGGCAAAATCCATCCTCCAGTAGCTGCCTCAGCTTAGATTCATCATGAATTTACAGTGCTAGTAATGATACTCCCTTTTGGTTAACTGATCTTTTTGTGCATCTGTATCCACTTAATTCCATTTCTATGCTTTTAAGAATATTCTACAAAAAACTTCATATTTTATAGCTGTTAAATACAGTAGTTGTAGGCCTTTGAATGTAAGCATGCTAGCTCTTCCTTCCACTTTAGCTTGAAGGATACAAATAGTCCTCATCCTTCAGTCCTCATCCCACCTGGAATACTGCATCCAGCTCTGGAGTCCCCAACATAAGACAGACGTGGGGCTGTTGGAGCGAGTCCAGAGGAGGACTACCAAGATGGTCAGAGGGTTAGAACACCTTTCCTACAAGGACAGGCTGAGAGAGTTGGGCTTGTTCAGTCTGGAAAAGAGAAGGCTCCAAGAAGACCTTACAGCGGCCTTCAAGTACCTGAAGGGCCTACAAGAAAGCTGGGGAGGGACTTTTTACAAGGGCCTGCAGTGACAGGACAAGGAGTGATGGTTGGAAGCTGGGAGAGGGCAGGTTTAGACTAGATATAAGGAAGAAGTTCTTCACCCTGAGGGTGATGAGACACTGCAACAGGTTGCCTAAGGAAGTTGTGGCTACCCTCTCCCTGGCAGGCTTCAAGGCCAGGTTGGATGGAGCCTTGAACAACCTGGTCTAGTGGGAGGTGTCCCTGCCATGGCAAGGGGGTTGGAACTAGAAGATCTTTGAGGTCCCTTCCAACCCAAACCATTCTATGATTCTATAATTCAGTACACCTAATACTCTTAAAGCAGCTTTTCCTGATACATTTCTGTACTTGCACTGGCCAAATTAGCCTTAACAAAAAGTTTCTGTACCTGCTGCAGAACTCTGCAACAGTTATTTTTAACAAAGAGAAGCTTATGTGGATAGAGCTTTCCAATTCTGAATAACTATAGATTATCAAGCATATCTCAGATATGATCTGTATGGCATGAAAAAGTTACCACTTCAAGCAGAGCCAATATTCATGCCCTGGTAGCAGTCTTGAAATAAAGGACACATACCCAGAAAAATAAAGAGGCTATAGAAAAAGATGCAAAAAATTCTGAGGCAGGAAAAAATCCACCTGGTATCTTTAAAGAAAATTAAGCGTGGCAATTGGGATGCACTGAATTGTATATCACAGGCCAAAGACACCAGTGATTCAGCAGATTTTAATGCACTCTATAAAACACTGCAGTAGTTTTGGTTGTTTTTTTTCTTTGCGGGTGAAGAAATAGAAGTTAATGCTGAAAGTAAAACAGATTAATGCAGAGCCTGGTCTTCACTCTGCAAAGCCTATTTCTTCACTGTATGTATTACAAGCTTGAAATAAACAAAAGCAGTTTGCTTTATATCAGATTTTTCATTTTCGAAATTTCATTTGTAAAAATTGAAGGCACATTTTCAGGTACCAGAAACAAAACACAATAGCTTGAATTGGTACAGAGCCAACCACTTTATTGCTCAGCTGAAGCCAAAAGGAACTTTATTTTGAAATTCCTGAAGCTGCTAAAGATATGCTAAATGGTTTGGCAAATCCTTTCCCAGCCCAAACTTTTGCATCCCAAGTTGGCCACCCAACAACCACGGACCTTTATGACACTTCCACTCTAATAATCTGTGCAGTTTGTTTTCCCTTCTCTAAGATACTTGAAGCATCGAAATATATATTAATAAGCACAATTAAATAACTCCTGAAAGAGTGCATTTGTAGATGGTTTGTAGGGTTTTTTAAAAGTTGCCATAAAATAGGGTACAGACCCACATTCTCTATGTGCTATTTGGAGAGTTAAAGAAAATACTGAACACTTGCCTTATTAGTTTCATGAGTTTGTACTGAATGAGGACAAGTTACTTGAAAAATTATTAACACTGCTGTGTAATATGTAGCCCTCAATGTATAAACTTTTGATGGCTAAATGAAAGCTGTAAGATCAGCTGTAAGTCATCTATTTTCTACCTTCCATTTAAAAATTCTTCTTTTGTGTTCTTCAGCCAAAGATATTCTGGTACAAAAACAAAATGGATCTCTCTGGGGATGCCAAATACCGCATGTTCAGTAAACAGGGTGTGTTGACCCTGGAGATCCGGAAACCCACTCCATTTGACGGTGGCTGTTATACTTGTAAAGCTGTTAATGAGTGTGGTGAAGCTGAAATAGAGTGCAGACTGGATGTCAGAGGTAATCATGAATCTTATAGATAACACTAACGCTGCAATGAACAAAGAGTAACAGATGGCATAAAAAACCAAAAATCATAGTTCCCCTTTATCTCACCCTGACCTCTTTGGTATATAAAAAGTTTGTTGATTACACACACAAGCAAGATTGTGTTTTTCATTCTAAACTGTTATGATAGAATTAGGTTACTTGCTAGGTAATACGGTTCTGAAGGTGGACAATTATTAAGCTTCTGACAGTTTTTCTAGAGAAAATACATAGCACTGGAATGGAGGTCTATCTACAAACACTGCATTGTGGATAATTTTATTATCCTTTGTGCCATATTCTATAATTAAAAATTTTTAAATGAAATCATTAGCCGTTATACGTATCTAAAAGTAGTGCATGCTACATCACAAATATTTTTCAAACATTGATAATGTTTGTCGAAAGGGCCAGGAAAATAGAGTGTTGTGTTTATAACACAGTAAGTAATACTGAGGAAGTATGTTTGGTAACGCTGATACTAATGTATCACTTTGTCAATACAAACGTACATAGCACCACTTTAAAGCTCATCAAAACCAGAAAAAGCTGTGAAAGTGACCTGCATAACAGCCATTGATGGAGATCTGTTGTCAGTACAGTGAGACTGAATGTATTTCTACACAGCACAGCGTTCAGTATCTTCGTGCTAAGTCAGGAATATGTACGCAGTACACCTTGCAGTGCTGGGCACCAATAGCCTCCCTGGGGTCTTGTCAGCAAGCAATTTACCTACATTAGTACAATGATGTACCCAGACCCACCTAGCTAATCTATACAGCAGCTTATCATTACACGCTACTTTCAGTTCAACGGCTAGTTGAAGTATTTCTGATCAGTGCTGTACAGCATAGACATGGCTCAAAGCTTAATATTATCATCTTCTGAAGCTTGCTTCGGGAATATTGAATCTCCTTGAAATCATCAGATAGAGGCAACTACTATAAGGTTTCCATATTTCACCTTCAGCAACAAGTCTCAATTTTAAATTAGCATCCTTTGATGTCTGATAATATCTTAATTTTTTTTTTTTCCATTCTCCAGCACCTCAGTAAAACTGAATCTCAATTCATCTCAAGTCAAGGTATGAATCAAAATAATTCAGCTGGAAAAAGGAGCAATGGCTTTTTGGTTAGATAAAAGATTAAATGGTCATTAGATATTCATGTTAGAGACTTAATAGAATTTTTATAATGTTGGTGGGTGTGTATGTGCTTGTTTTGATTTCTGTTTGTTTTTTCCAATAATCATACTAAGGTAATTCCTGCAAGGTAATTTGGTTTATTTTAAAGTCACGATTTCTTGGATCTCAACCTTTAATATGCTGTGCCAGTGTAAAAATCTATAAGAATAAAAGAATGCTTTGTTGACTCACTGCAAGCACTCCCTCTAGCAGACTGTTATTTATTAATACAGAGCTAACTAGTATCAATAATCTGTGTGCATTACTTTAACCAAGGAAGCAGGGTTAAAATTACAGTGCATCTAGAAGTGTAATGTACATTTTAGACTTTAAAAAATGAAATAGCTATCCTAAACAATCAGGTACTGTATTTGACAATAAATCCTTCTCCCCATTCTGTCTCAGCATTGGAAGAGAACTTGAAAAGAAGAAAACTGAAGAAATTAATGAAGGATAACTTCGATTACATTTAGGAGTCCTGCTCATCTTAAAAGTCATTTAATACATGTGTAATAGGAGGCAGCAGTGTCTTGTAGCGTCCTGCTTACTCAGCATATTTTCAAACTATATTTCCTCTTTTCATACATCTTATTTTAGTTACATTACCCCATCTCCATGCAAAGAAATTCAGGGAAATCAAGATAAAACTTTCCCTCCATTACATAAGATATGTCTGGGAAAAAAAAAAAAAAAAAAAAATTTGATTACGTGCAAACTCAGTGCATTCTGAATGCTGAAACAAACATAAATTCCCCACTTCTACAGTTCTCTCCATTTTCTCTTCTTGGAATTCTGGCATTCTTCATAAGAAAGAAGTAGCTTAGAATAATGAAACACAAATTATTAGTAATATTTAATCACCTTTCATTATACTGATCTCTGCACAATAGAAATTAACTTTCATTCCTACTGCTTTTACTGTCAGTGCTTGAAATATCAATTTCTGTGCTCTTGAGCAGATCTTTTCAGAACCATGTCTGAAACACCATCTGGAAATCTCTGGCTAAAGCTACTGTTCTGCTTTATACAGAAAATATTTTCTTTGATTACTCTTCACTACCAGTTTTCTAGGTTTTAAAGACACCAGCATAGAATTCCAGTTATTAGATGTTTCTGCAAGCAGTCATAGACATCACACTAATCTACAGAGAATTTTATACATCAGATGAAACAGTGAAAGATGCAACAAGGAAGATTATTTGCATGTAAATAAAAAGTTTCAAAACAAAAAGCTTGTGATGAATGCAATAAACTTACTCTCATCAAATATTACTGAAGGCTTTTGAAAATCTAAGAGTAGTATGTATGTATGTATGTATTTCTGCACATATTTTTGTCTAATCAAATGACAGTAGGCTTCTCACCTACTAGTTTGAATAGTATTTGGGGTGGAGTGTTTTCTGGACCCGCAGTAGTTGTTAGTAGTTTCTGGCTGGAAAGTACATTTTCATGGCAACAGTACAAGAAAAGGTAGGAAGAGGAAATTAATCCAGGAAGCATTGCCTTTGGGAAGATCAACACAAAGGAACCTGTGTTGTGTTGTGTTTATGTGAGGAAATGCTACTCCCCTGCCTCCAGCATCCCAGTTGAGATGAGAAAGTGTGCCTGACACAGCATGTTAGTTGTACTAAATGAGCACATACGTCTTCATAATAAAAGCACTGATGATAATGAGATGTCATCTCATGAGGTGTTATTCTATTAGGGTATCAGAACAAAGAAGGGTACTCCTCTAAAACCAAAGTGAAGTTATCCAAGGTTAACATTTGTCTGTTGCACATTGTTATTATTCAGCAAATAAATAAAAAAACAATGGGAAATATGCAAACAAGTTTACATTGTTTTATACTTTCATTTTCTGAGCAACACTATTTAAAAAAATAAGTCACATATACCACACAAAAATCAGAGACCGTCTGTATTATAAAGAACCTGTGACCAGAACACAGTGGACTGAGAGGATCATCCCAGCATCTGAGACAATGTCTACTGATAAGCACAGACTGGATCACAATAGCTGAGATTACAAAGGCCAGTTTAACCTAAGGAGAGTGAGGTGCTATACCAAGTACAATATATTGTCAGAAAGGTGTTTCACAAAGAGAGTAGACTTTCATGCTGTAACAGGGTACAATACCAAAAGAGCACAAAAATTAATCAAGAGTCACTAAGAAAATGGCATTTTCTGCTCAATTCCTAGCTATTCAATGTGAGTACAATGGTTTTGGGAAGAGCAGCGCTTTCACAAGTGAACATTTATTTCACCTCTCAGCTGTGAAAAGCAGTATTCTGCAAACTGATGCTTTCACTAGATGTTAGTCAATCAATTTTTTCCATAAAATTTCATTGTTTGAAAGGTCTTCAAGTATTAAATTCTACCATATATATAAAAATTAATTTGTGAGCATTAGAAACTTATCTTTCTACTTTTTGAAGTCCTCAAACTAATGACAATCAAATAAATGCCTCCTCAAAAAACTGGCCAAGATACTACTTCTGGAAGTACTTCATGCAGGGTAGCGCCAAATAGTTAGAATCTAATTCTATAGGGCCTTCTAAGGCAATGCTGTGCTTCTACATGAAAAAAACATGAATTAGTTTTAAATTCCAAAACGTTCAGTGACTAGGAGTGAACCAAATCCAAATCTGAATAGTTACAAGTAAGAAACCCACTCTAATTAGGTTTCTAAATTTTGTTCTTAAAAAAGTGAATTCTGAAAATTCAAAATGCTAACCACTCCTCACACATTGAAAAGAAAGAAAGGGCAAAGGTGCACCTGCAAGATTTGAACTTTCTGTGATTAGTTCTAGAAGGGTCTTTAGGAAATTGTAAGTGTTTATTGATGTTTTGCAAGCATATAGTTTTGTCATTCATCTGTTCCATGGCCAGTATTGATCCTCAATGTATACTTCACTAATTGTCCATTAATTCTGTGTTGTTAATAAGTAAGTAACTTTCATCCCGATCTTATTAATCATAGAGTTGTAGAATACCAGGTTGAAAGGGACCTCAAGGATCATCTGGTCCAACCTTTCTCGGGAAAACCATCATCTAGATAAGATGGCTCAACATCCTGTAAAACTACAGAAACTGAGCAGTTTCTCCCAAACATACCTGTCTAAGAACAAAAAAGTATCTCACAATTTTTCCCCATCACACCTGAAAGACTACTTAACAAAATGTGGTTTTCACTATCTTTTCCCAGGTAGGATCTCCTCCAATGTAAAAATCAGAGGGACTGACCTCTAAATATCATGGCAAATATTCTTACCTTATAGTTGTTCAGTACTGTTAGAAAGAATCATGCAAGGTAAGATCAACAGTTAAAAAATTAACATAGGCCATAAAGTTAAAAAAACCCTTCTTATCTACTAGCATTCTCTTTTAGCATATTAAGTGCCTTTCCCAGCTGACAGAAACTACTATCAAAACCAAGTCCTATTGAAGTCCTTTCAGTAGCTCTCCCAAGACAAAAAAAACCCACGCTATTGCTCAAGGAAAAGATCCTTCCATGTGAAAAGTATATGTAACTTAGACAGACAGACCTATTATTTCTATCCAATTGGATGGAATATTGACTGTAACTTTCAATGCTACCACAATTTCAGTTTAAAAAACCCTATAAATTCAGCCTGCTGGCTACCAGTTCATGGTACATGCCTTTCCTTCAAAGGAACTGCTACTAACTATATACCAGGTACAGAGATTCTTGGATGCTTTGAATTAATGTACACAAGACTGCTGAAGCACAAGGATGTTGTGGAGTATTACTGAAGACATGGTATCACAGAGCATAGAAACAGTCAAGCCAGCCCAGTCCTTCACTTGAGCCAAAGTACCACTTAGAAGAAACATCAACTAACCCGAAAATATTAAGATATCAAATAATACTTTTTGTACTCCAACTAGCCCTGTTCTCTCCATGCGGCACTGCCTGCTAGCCAAGTACACCCTCAGCTGACTCTTCAGCCCAGAACAACACATATTTCACACCACAGCACCAAGTCTTTTGTGTTTCATCCTGTATTTCAGTACTGTTGTGGAAGTATTATAAGTAAACAACATTTACTTGCTCCTACCAACAGGAAGCTTCACTTAATACTCTTTATAAAAGCCAAAAGATAGAGTTAAACTGTCAAAGACAAGCAAATCTTACCAGAACTACTAATTTCCTTTAGTTACTTGAGATAGCCTCCATGCTTAAATTGTGACTGTTAGTCTGTGAACAAAACATAATAGCAAAATAAGTTAAGGGTTGATGAATAACTCATAAAAGAAAAAAAAAAAGTATGAAGCCCAAGAAAAAAAATTCAAAAGTCAAAGCATAATGTATATTAGAAAACCACCTTTTGCTTCAAGTGTAATTCTAAAATAAACTAAATTTCTTAAGAAATTCTTCTTCAAGCCTGAACTTCTCTTCAGGATACTCATTGACTGAACTTCAAATCAGTGATATGTGTTTTTCTGTCTTAAATACCAACACCTGAATTTTGGGTAGTGGCTGGAGGAGGATTTGAGGATGATTTAAAATCCACCCCTGCTCCAGGGCCACAGGTGGGGTCTGGTGAGGATACCTCAGTGCTCCTAGCTAACTGGCACCCCTTTCTCCTCCCTCCCCCCCT